GAACCTGACCTCTTTATACTAACGATAGTTGCTTCATTCTCCTTCAGAAAGGTTAAAGAGATAGCAGTCCTACCTCACAGTTGGGGATTCTCCACTTCTATTCGAATACTAAATAATTCATCAGCAGGATTGTTTTTGTCTCCTCCAAATGAGAGTCTATCAACTTTAAGATCGAACATTGTTTGATAAACTAAATCTTTCACAATATCGAATTCCGGAATAAAACTATGTTTAACTCCAATAAGTTTCAATACTCTTCTGTGAGCTTCGTTCTTAGCTCTCGCTAGTATTCGCTCTACTCCCAATTCTATGAGATTAGAACAGATAGAGATAGACTCTTCTACATTTTCAATACTTACAATTACATAGTCAAAATCATCAACTCCTAAGTCTTGCAAGTCCTTCAGTTGGGTTGCATCATAATTGCTTGAATTAGTAAATTCACTCCCTCACCTATTAATTAATTCTGTATCTTTTTCTATTACAGTTACATCTTGCTCTTCATTCATAAGAGTTTTACCTACTGCATAACTGAATTCATTTAATCCAATAAGACAGTAATCCTTCTTAGTTCTCTCCTTTTTATTACCCATACCTAACAATTTCCTAGATATTAAAGGGCCTTAGGCCCTTTTTTGAGCGAGGGAGAGGTTTTTTGAAAAGTTACTTTATATATTCGTAGAAACATTTATCCAAGATTATAGTGCTTGCATATACTAAAGAGATATAAACGAGGAGTAACCACTAAAAGCTAAAGAGAACTAGGAATGGGAGGCTCTTCTCCTTTTCCTAGGGGAAGCGCCGGAAAAAATCTCGCTTATGAAAAATTAGGAAATTTAATTTTTGGTAGAACAGTTTATCAAAAATTAGCTAGACTGTATTGCGCAGTAATACTTTTAGGATTTGGAGCTTTAAGTCTCCCATTTGTTCAAGAAAATTCAGGATCTACTGATTATTTTGCCAATTTTTTCACTGCTGTGAGTTCATTTACTACAACAGGATTATCTATCAAATCGCCTTTAGAATCCCTAAAAACTGTAGGACAAATAGTAGTTTTGACATTAATTCAAGTAGGTGGAATGGGAGTTGTAACTATTTGAACATTCTTAAAACACCTTTTTTTAAATACCAGAAGACAAACAATTGAAGAGAGGATGAATCTTCATCTTGAGAGAGGGGGAGTAAGCGAGGGAATTTCATATGATGTTGTGAAATCTGCACTAAAAACTCTTTTTTCGCTTGAGATTGTACTTTCAGTTTTTTTAACTTACTTTTTTTATATTGTAGGACCTAATCCCAATTGTGAAACATCTAAATCAAATTTTTGAAAATCTCTACATAGGGGAGTCTTTCATTCTATCTCTGCAGTTAATAATGCAGGACTTGATATTATTTCTAAAAGTTCTTCAGTATCTTCTTATTCTACTGGTTGAGGAATAATACTAACTATTGTATTTGTTCTAGCCTCAGTAGTTGGGGGAATTGGTTATCCAGTACTTCATGAAGTTAAGGGATGAATAGTTAATCGAAAAAAAACTAAATCTGCTTGAGGAAGTTTATCTCTTTTTTCCAAAATATCGTTAACTACTTATTTCTTAATTACTGTACTTGCTAGCTCCCTAATTCTCTTCGCAGCCTGAATAACAGATAATTTTAAAGAGATAAAACCTTGTCAGCTTACGACTGCAGAAAAAGTGTGACAATTGATTTATCTTGTATTTTCTAGTAGATCTGCAGGTTTTGCTGGAGTTGAACTAAAAACATTAGATGAAAAAATTCAGTGAGCTTTATTAGTTTTGATGTTTATAGGAGCTTCTCCAGCTTCAACTGCAGGAGGGATTAGAAGTATTACACTATTTTTAATTATTGGGAAAGTATGAATAACAATTCGAGGAAGAAGATCTCTCTCAGTATTCTCAAGAACTATTTCTAATGAAACAATTGAAAATGCATATATAGTATTCTTTGTTTCTGCAGTATTAATTACACTAGTTTCCTTGTTTATGCCTATAAACTTAAGTTCTTCATCAGGAGGTTCTAACGGAGCTGCATCTAAAGACAAGCATATTGCCCTCTTTGAAGCTGCTTCGGCTTTTGGAACTTCAGGATTATCTCTTGGTTATACCTCTCAACTTTCAACTGCAGATAAAAATAAAAAGTGAATAGGAGGACTTCTCTTAATCTTCTTAATGTTTGTAGGCCAAATGGGAGTTCCTAATCTTCTAGCTTACTATACTAGACCGAGACCATATAAACAAAACTTTGTGAATCCAGAAGAAAGGTTGAGAATTGCCTAAACCAAAAAAGATTATTCTCACTCAATAGTCGCTGCCGGCTTCGTGGTTAAATCGTAAAGCACTCTACCAACAGAGGGAAATGCTTCAACTATTCTATTTGCAAGAGAGATCAACTCATTAATAGGTATAAAACTGACTTTAGCACTCATATAGTCTACAGTTTCAATTGCCCTAATTACTATAGTCTCTCCATAAGTACGCTTATCTCCCTTAATACCTACTGCCTTCTCTCCTAATAGTATTAGGAAAATTTGACTACAATAATGTTCTAGTCTCCTATGCTTAAATTCAGCCTCTATAAATAAGTGAATTGAAGAAAGTAGCTCTACTCTTTCCTTAGTAACTTCTCCAGTTATTCGTATAGCAAATCCAGGAGCAGGAAAAGGCTGTTGAGCGAGCAAAAATGGAGGAATATTAAATCGAGAGCCTAACATTCTTACTTGATCTTTAAATAATTTTGAAAAAGGTTCTAATATAGGAAATGGAAAAATATCTCCTTCAGTTATCATTGAAATATTGTGATGAGATTTAATTTTCGAAGAATTGGGTGAGGAAATTCCTGATTCTATCTGGCTAGATCGGACAGTTCCCTGCACAAAATAAGAAATGCCTTCTGACTTACTGTCATAAACTAATTCATCAAAAGTTTCTCTAAATTTCCTTGAGATGACTCTCCGTTTTTGTTCAGGGGAAGTAATCCCTTTTAAGTCCTCAAATATACTATTTCCTCACTCAATTTTTTGAAATTTCGAGAATCTATCACTGTAGTATCTAACTATTTTCTCTTCTTTTTCCAGAGGATGAAGAGAAGTAGAAATGAAAATAGGATAAATATCATCTTCAGGCATTAATTCTCTTAAAAAGTGAATAAGTATAGTAGAGTCCACTCCCCCAGAAAGTGCAACTAGCACTTTTTGCTGAGATAATTTATCTCTATATTCTCTTTCCAAATTTTGATAAAGTTCTTCTGTTTTGCCCATAATATCAATATCTCTAGAGCTTGGTAATTCTAATTTTGCTACAAAATTAAAAAAATTACGCAATAGTTGCATTCCAAATTCAGTTTCATAACATTCAGGGTGAAATTGAATAGTACAAATAGGTCTAGATACATGTGCAGTAATCATACATTTCTCCTCTCTAATAGCTACAGGATAAAATCCGATACCTAATTTAGTTACATATTCACTACAAGAAGCTCACACTCTAAACCTATTAGGAATATTCTGTAAAAGAAGATGGTCTTTGAATTTATGTACTTCTCCTGATCCGAATAAGGGATTTGTTTTCTCTATTTTTCCCTTAAACATATAGTGAAGAAGAAGCATACTAAAACCAATTGCAAGAAGCGGAGTATTCTTATTTTCTACTATTTGTTTAACTAAATATTGTGTCCCTGATGTTCAATAAACTTTTTCTATAGAGGCGGGACTTCCTGACAAGACTACAGTTTGAAAATCTGAAAAATTCTTTTGCATTTTGGGAGATTCTTTTAAATCGAAAGACACTCTAGTTACTTCACAATTTAGTTCAATTAATCGTCTCTCTAAAACATAGGAAAATTGAGAGCCTAAATCTATTAAAAGCACATGAGGTCTTTTCAGGAAGTTAAGCTTTCATATTTTTTAAATAATTTTTTATAGAAATAGCCGCAATAGCCCCATCGTTCATTGCTGTAACTATCTGTCTTAACTCTTTTTGAATTACATCACCAGCTGCGAACACTCCCCTTAAACTTGTTCTCATTTCGGGATCGACATAAATGAAACCTCTTTCATCTCTTTTTAGATTTATATTGGAGAGAAAATCAGTTTCAGGTAGTAATCCAATAAAAATAAATACTGCTTTACCTGAGATAGAAGCTCGCTCTCCGGTTTCTGTATTTTCTACTTCAAGACCAGTAACTTTATTCGAGTCTACTAATATTCTTACAGGTTTGAAAGGAGTATATATAGAAGCATTCTTTTTGTTCTGAAGTTCTCTTACGAGAAGCTCATCACCCCTGAATTCTCTTCGTCTATGAATTAACTTTACGTGAGAAACTATTGAAGTAAGATAAAGCGCCTCTTCGAGCGCGCTATTACCTCCCCCTACTACAATTACTTCTTGACCTGAATATAAATTTCCCTCACAAATTGCACAATAAGACACTCCCTTACTGTAATATTCCAATTCATTCTCAATTTCTAGCTTTTTTTCTCTCATTCCGGTAGTAATAAGTACTGAACGAGTTTCAAATTCAGTTTTTTTAGTAGAGACTATTCAGTTATTGCCTTTTTCAATAAGGTTTATTACTTCGTCGATGAGCAATTCAACATTCAACTGATTTAATTGAGTTGAAATATTTTCGGAAAGCTGGAAGCCGCTTCGGTCTAAATATCCTGGGTAATTATCTATAAATAATGTTTTAGTAAGTTTTCCCCCAATTAATGCTTTTTCGATAATCAGCACTTTTAAGCAAGCACGAGCACAGTAAATTGCCGTTGTTGTTCCTGCAGGACCTCCCCCAATAATTATTAAATCTCATATACTCAAAAAAGACTAAGTAAACTTAAAATTTAAAATGGTGGGACTAATGAGGTTCGAACTCATAACCGCACCCTTATAAGAGGTGTGCTCTGCCAGTTGAGCTATAGCCCCATAATTGAAACTTTAATCTTAAAAGTTTAGACTTGATATACATTTTTAGGAAACAACGTAACTACTTCCTGCAAAAATTAATAGATAAACAATTTATAAATTAGAATAATCTAGATTTATTTTTTTATATAACATTCTTTAATAAACGAAAACTTCTAGAGAGGAAAATTCAATTTTATTACCATCTCAGAAGAGACAGATAGATCAGATTCTTAAGCAGTTAGTTGAACTAACTAAGAAAGAGAATATTCAAGATTATGGAAAACATAGTCTTCGAAATATGCTTTGAAGAGAATTATTCTTCAATAAAAATCTAGGAGATGAAAATGAAGACTTAACTGGTGAACTTCTCTGAGAATATATAGATATAGTTAAATCTTCTACGGGAGTAGAGGAAGTAGAATTTGATGAAGGCTTCTCAAACTTGGAAGAAAAACTTATTGAGTTAGAGAAGCTTTGAAAGGAGGAAGAGTGAAGGAGACATAAACAGGGAGAAATAGGATTAAAAATTGAAAGATTATGAAGACAAAAAGAGTTAAATAATAGGGAATTGCATAAATACTATAGACTTAGAGATTCTCTTGAATTAGAAGAGGAAGAAAAATTAGAAAAAGAATGAGATAATAAATCAATTACTGAACTTAATAAGAAAGTAGAAGAAAATTTAGAGAAACGTAGAAAATTAGAAGAAGAGAAAGAGAGAGTTAATTCAGAATTAAAAAAATTAAGAAAAATTCAGAAAGTATTGTGAGATAAAAAAGAAGAATACTGTAGTAGATATGAAGAATATTCTTTTGAATTAAGTAGACTTCATGCTAGATTAAATAAGCTATGTTTAAAACTTCAACAAATTTGTGAGGATAGTGAATATAGTCTGAATATGCTCTTAATAGAATTTTCAAAAAATATTAAAAAAGATTCCTCAGTATTATCTAAAACATTAGAAAATTAGTTTATTAAAATTAAACTTTTATAATTGAGGGTTAGTTTTTTGAAAAAAAATTTAAAAAATATATCTAAAGAAAGTGAAACTAAGGGAAAGGCAGTTAAGTCTTCTACTACTAAATCTTCTAAAGTTGTAAGTCTTAAAAACAAAAGTAATATAGTTTCCCCTAAATCTAAAAAAGAGGTAAGCATATCTAAAGTTGTCAAAATTGAATCAAAATCGAAAAATGCTTTAAACCAAAAAACAAAGCCAATTAAATCTCCTGTAAAAAAATCAATAAAGAGTTACGCAATAAAAAAGAAGATTGAGCCTTCCCCTAAGGAAACAATAGTTAAGAAGTCAAGTGTTAAGAAACTAAAAACACCTATTGAGGAAGAACAGGAAGTTAAAAAAACTTCAACTAGACTTAATAAGAATCAAAGAATATTAGAATCAGAGCTTTACAAATCGAATTACTCTAAATTAGAAAATGTTCATGAAAATTTATTAGCATTGAGAGCGCTAGAGAAAGCGGAGGCAAATAATTATGATCGTGTGTTTGTACTTGAATCTGGTTCAAAAAAAACTAAATATAAAAATACAAAAAGTTTATTAGCAACTGTTTGACCCATTCTACATAATCAAGCTACAAAACCGAAGAAGGGAAAAAATAAATTAACTGAACAGGAATTGATTATGTTTTTAGAAGATCATGAAATTGTATTTGAAGACTTTTGAGAAACTTTAGCGTTTAAATTGACAGAAAATGAAATAGAAATAACTGAGTTAGATTCAGAAGAGAGAGAAGCCCATTTAGAATATCAAGATGAAAATATTTCTTCTTTCAAGTTTTATCACTCTTCTAGTACAAAAGATAAAATGAGCGATTCTTCAAAATCATTTCTCTCTACCCTTTGTTTTTCCAAAATGTTAACTGCAGATGAAGAAAAACAAATTGCTCAATTAATGGATACTCCTGAAAAAAAAGGATTCGCAGAAAAACAATTAATGACTTCTAATTTGAGACTCGTTATTTCAGTAGCTAAGAAATATTTAAATTGCGGCTTCAATTTAGGAGATTTAATTCAAGAAGGTGTATTCGGATTACGAAAAGCAATTACTAAGTTTGACTACAAATTTGGAAACAAATTTTCTACTTATGCGACCTGATGAATTAGACAAGCAATTACTAGATCAATTGCTGATCAATCTAAAATTATTAGAATTCCTGTGCATATGATGGAAATAATTAATAAACTTACAAAAGCTGAAAAGGAATTAATACTTAAACATGGAAATACCCCCTCTCTTGAAGAATTATCTTCTGAAATGCAAAAATTTGGAACTCAATTCACTCCTCAAAAAATTAGTGAGATCAAGAAAATAAATGTTGATCTAGTTTCCCTAGATAAACCTATTTCGAATAATGAAAACTCCAATTTTTCTGATTTTGTTCGCGAAGATGGGGATAACTCCAATCCGGAGATATTAGCATCTAAAAATTTTGTAGAAGAGGGCCTTCATAAAATTTTGGAAAAAACTTTAACTTCTGATGAGATACTAATACTCTCCCTATTATTTGGATTAGGAAATAATGCTTCATATTCTATAGAACAATTAGCTCAGCTTTTTGTGAAGGATAAGTCTTTTTATGGAAAATTCCAAGATAAAAAAATAAAGAGTTTAATAAGACCTAATGCTACAGATTTAGATTCAAGTGTAAAGGGTAATAATAAGAAAATAAAACCTATTTCTTCAGCCTCAAGTATTAAATTAGTAACTGAGCATATTAAAAAGGTAGAGGAAAGAGCAATCCGCAAATTGAGGGAGAGAGCGAAAAGCGGAGTGCTTAGTAGTTCTTTACTCACTCTTTATTCAAATAATCCCTTCTAACTCTTTCTCTCTAGGGAAGGGCCTAAGGCCCTTTCCCTAGTAAAAGGAGAAACTTTACCTACTTAGTATTCAAGTAACCTAATGATTTTTCATACTATTGAACAACACTTATTTGAGAGTAGGAAAACAAAAAAGAGTCATCCTACCCAGATTTATGCTCTAGGTGGAATAGAAGAAATAGGAAAAAATTGTTATTGTATTGAACATCAGGATGAGTTGATCATTATGGATTTCGGAATTAAATTCGGAAATAAAGCTACTCAGCCAGGAATAACTGGCGAAATTCCTAATTTAGATTATCTTATTAAGAATAAAGAAAAAATTTCTGGACTATTCATAAGTCACGGCCACGAAGATCACATTGGGGGAGTAGTTCATCTTCTTAATAGAATAGACATTCCTATTATTTACGCTCCAGCACTAGCACTTGAACTTATTAAGAAGAAAATCGAAGAAGCTAAAGTAGAACTCAAATCTAAAGTGGAAATTTGTGATTCTTCTTCACTAATAGTAACTAAAAATTTTGCAATCGACTACTTTGAAGTTAATCATTCAATTCCTGACTCTTACGGTATATCTATTTCAACTCCAAATGGTTACGTAGTATTTAGCGGTGACTTCCGCTTCGACTTAATAAATAAGATAGATAGCAAATCATTTCAGAAATTAATAAATATAGGGGGAAGAAGAGTGGACTTGCTCTTATGTGAATCTACAGCAGCTGCTCAACCTGGATTTAACGAAAGTGAAGTCACAATCATTCAAGAATTGAAGAATATTATTTCTTCCGCTCAAGGGAGAATAATTATTACATTTTTTGCCTCAAATTTAGGAAGAATTGAAGAAATAGTTAAGTTAGCTCATTCTAAAGGTAGAAAAATTGTAGTTTTTGGAAGATCAATAGAAAGTAGCTTGAAGTGTTCTCAAACAGTAGGATTGTTAAATTCAAACGAACTTAAAAATATATTTATTTCGGCCCAGGAGCTTGAAAATTATCCAGATGAAAAAATATTAATTATCTGTACAGGCTCACAAGGGGAGGAACATTCAGCTCTTAATATTATCTCACGAAATGCTCATACAACAATTCAATTAAAGCCCACTGATGATATCATTTTTTCCTCGAATGCTATCCCAGGGAATAAACAAGCAGTTAACGAATTAGTAAATAGACTTTATAAATCCGGTTGCAATATTCACTTAAATTCAAGTACATGTAGAATTCATGCTTCTGGTCATGCAACTAAATTAGAGCAACAATTATTTATTTCTTTACTTTCTCCTAAATTTTTAGCTCCGATTCACGGAGAACGAAAAATGCTTCACGATTTAAAGCGAAATGTATCTGAATTAAATATTGTGCCCTCTCAAAATATTTTTATTCTGAAGAACGGAGCTAAACTTAATTTACTTAATGGTCAAGTAAGTAAATCTCCTGAAAATGAGGACATCTCTTTCGGAGATCCTTACTTCATACTTGAAAATAAACTAACAGATTCAGGAAAAAAAATTCTAAATGACCGAGTTCAACTCTCTCAAAATGGTCTGCTAGTAACTACACTAACAGTAGATTTAAAGACTAAAACTATTTTTGATATCTCCCCAATTTCCACTATAGGTTCTCTTTCATTCTCAATTTCTTCAGAGCTTTTTAAAGAATTAAATCAATTAATTTATCAAAAGGCAGAAATGATATTAAACTCCCGAGAACCCCCATTGAATACTGAAAAAATACAAAATGAATTAACTCAATTTATTTCTACTTATTTTCTCGCTAAGAAGACAAGTAAACTTCCAAAAGCTCTAATAATTATTGAAAATGTTTCTACTAATGATCTCTGAGGCGATTCAATATCGGCTAATGAAGAATCTAAACCTTCTTAAAAACAGTAAAGTATGAAATTTAAGTTAAAAAGTTTGTAACTCTTTAGCTTTTCTTAGTTTTCTTTTTTCCCCCCCTTAGGGGGAGAAAAGAAGGTTTAATCTATTTACAAATTAACTTCAGGCATCTTTTTAATATCTCTAAGGCCGCTGGCCGTCACTTTCGGCTTGGGCGGTGGCGGGGGGGGGCGTCTCTAATGTTTGTAAAATCACAGAACCTCCTATAGTTCCTCCTATTCCCAATAAAGCCACTAATTTAAAAATGAGACTAATTGTTTAATTTATCTCTTAACTGAATCTC